CCCGAGAAAGCCCCGAAGAAGCCAAAACCCTTTCAAAACGAACGGCGGATGAATGTGCGGTTTCTCGCCTTTTCGCTTCCGATGGCCCTCCGAAACCTCGGCGCAGTTCCAAGAGGGCCCGCGAGGGCCCGAGGGAGGTCCAAGAGAGCCCCAAAACAACCTCAAGAGCGTTCCAAGATCGTCTCCCGAGGGGCCAAAGCGGTGATTCTTAGCGCCCAAGAGACAATATGGGGGGGGGGCTAATCAAGGACACCCCTCTTCGATCGATGTCCTCCGAGATGGCCCCGAGAAGCGGCGGGGGGGCCCGAGAGGCCCCGAGATGGCCCCAAGAGGCCCCCGAGAGGCGCCCGGGGGGGCCCCGACGAGATCCCAGGCGGCCCCAGGAGGCCACCCCGAGGCGCCCAAGACGCCCGAGACCTCCCCAGAACCGCCCAGAGACCCCCGTGACGCCCCAGGAAGCCTCCATTAGCGCCCGAGAGATATCCCAAGAGGCTCCGAAAGGCATCCAAAAGACCTCTCATTTTGCCCCCCCCCCCCCCCCCCCTGCCCCCCCCACCCCCCTCTTGATCATTATCTTCCTCCTTGTGTTCCTCCCCCTCCCCCTCCTCCGCCTCCCCCCCCATCCTCGTCCTATCCGTCTTCCGTCGCCCTGCCCACGCATCAATGCAGCCAGCCCCCTCCTTCTCCCCCCCCCCCTCCTCGCGTGATTCGGCCGTTCCCCCCTTGGTCCCGCTTCAACTCGCCCGGGCATCGTTTCTGGTCGGGCTGGCGGGGAATGCGCGAAGCGTCTACCATTTTCCGACGGTCGGAATTGATCGCCGACAACGCCGCGGTGGCCTCGACGGCGGCTGACGCCTCAGCGTCGCCCCCCAAGTAGTCGAGCATCGAATCGTCTCCTTCGTCGCTCTGCAGATGGGGGCGCGAAGAGACGGGGATCGCGCCGATGCGCTGAAGCCGAACTCGTCGACTGCCAAATGATTCCAGCCCTTCTTCAAATGCCCCTCGCGAAGAATATCCGCGCCCCTCGCTGCCTTCAGCGCCCCTTAATCTGGGCTGGGCCCACCCGCGCGAACTTCGATGAACTGGGCCCCTGCCCCATCGAGAGATGTCCGTTCTTCAGTGGGCATCGGTTTCCATTCGTCTGTAAGTCCAAGACCCTGCGCGGCGACGCGATCGAAGACCGAGTCTACGCGAGCTGCTTTCTCAGTCAGGTTGCCCGCAGTTCTCGCGGGCGAGATCCAGCGCGCGCGCGCGCCCCCGAGCGGCCTTTCGGCGCCCATCTCCTCGGCGCTCTCCAAATAAAAAATCGAAGCGGTCGACGGTGGCGACGGCCCCGCCCCCGCCGGCCCAGGCCGCGTCGCCTGGGCGCCCAAATTTCAGCCGAGGACCTCAGTCGAGGGAGCGGGGCAGGCTGCCCGCGTGCCTGCGAGGCCGATGCCCCGCCCAGGCCCGCCATCGCTCGATCTTACGGGGCCGCGTTTCACTGTCGGGCCGCCCGCCCTTTTTGCGTAGATCGGAAAAAACAAAAAAAACTGCCCTCATCGCCCGCCGCGCCAAGCTTCTTCTCGGCGCCTGCCCGAGGCCCGGCGTCGCCGCGGGGGGGGGGCGCGCAGTGGGATATTACGCCGCCCGCGAATGAGACTGAGGGGCCCCACTACGACGGCTGGCCCTAGCCCGATGACTAGCAGTGAGCAGTGCCCCGATGACTGGGCGCCGCGAGGTCCAGCCGCCAGTCCGCGAGAAGCTCCGCTGCGGCGCTGCCCACCCTGGGCGTGGATCTGGACTTATGGGCCTGGTTTCAAGGATCCTCTCGTCCTCTGGCAGCGCCTCGAATGCGCCCTCGGATTGGAGGGCGAAAGAGGGGGCCTGCAACAGGGGGTCTTCAAGTGGGGCTGAATCGCCCATGCATGCTCGATGCATCGCTCATGTATGTGATCGAGGACGATTGGCATCCAATGTTGGCGTCATGGAGGGCCAATCGTTCGCGCCCGCGCGTTGCCCGCGCGGGCGAACGCGCCGCCCATGAATTGTCGTCCATGCGCCCAGGCAGTCTTGTATATTGAGAGTGGGGCGGCGAAGTGGAGTGCAAGTGTCTCTTGATTGTGCGATCGGCGATCGCGCATGCCCCTAAACGATGAATTGTGACTTGTCGACCCCCAAGACAGACTTGGAATGGGTCCGCGATCTTCCCAAAATGTGAAATGTGAACTCATAGTTTCCTTCTTCCCAAGATGTGAATTCACATTCTGGCTCCTTCATAAAGATTCAGACACGCAATTCCAAAACATGTGAATTCAGATTTTCCTTGTTCCGAAAATGCGAATTCACATAGTCCTTTTTTTCCCAAAATGTGAATTCACATTCTGCTTTTCCCCACAATGTGAATTCACATTTTGATCTGGCCTTCAAGATCCCCGAAACTGAGGCGCAGTGTTCTGCATGTCAGATTGGCTGAGCAGATTGTGACACTCACCTCACAACTTTCGTTTACTCCAACATTATTTTTGCGCTCTCAGCGCACGTTGCCTTCGTCGCCTTTCCGGAACCCCCAGCCCCCTTGCGTCGTCTACCCTCCAGTCTCGCGCATGGGTGCAGGCGGGGAACTTCAAGTGGTTCCCCCGCCGAACACAACAATCGAGGACGCATCGCCCATGCACGGCCCATAAAGACACCATTGCCGGGACCCTGCGCCCGACCCCCACTTTCGCCCTCCAATCGGAGCTCCCTTAGCAGCTCGGTACCGGCGGCATCCGGAAACATGATGTACCGTCCATAGTTCCTGAACGACATGAGCAATCATTTCCTCTGGGTTGTGGAGACCCGCTTGTCTCAGAATGTGCACGCTTTCAAGTTCGTGCGTCCGTGCCCTTCGAGTCTCAGACTATCGTTGATGATCTTTGCTGCAGCGGTCATGGCACGCAATGTCGAAGCTGCTCACACTGTGCTGACGAGCGCCCCAGTACACAACACGCACACGTTGGTGACAAGTGCGAGAGAACGAATGAGGGAGTTAATGTAATGACTGATGGTTGAATGTACATTAGTAAGCCCGAGTGGTTACGACCCTCCATTCCAAGCCCAGAAGGGACCTGTCCAAAGAAATGATATGGTAAAGCACAAACCGACAGTCTCGTTCCGTCACACTTCCCTTTGCCTTCGCCGCGGCCCTTGCCTTGGACGGCGCTTCGTTGCAGCGTGTCCGTGGCCACGCCGAGCAAGTCGATCACGATCGTGTTCGCACTGCTGCGCCATATTATATAGTAGGCGCCCTGTTGATCATGGCCGCGCTGATCACGAGGTCGCGGCCAACAAACCAAATTCATGGTTGAAGCATCTGCCCCAAAACACTAATACATCAACATCTCTCAATTCCGAACAAAAATATATGTGTCGCCCTTGTCTCGAGAGGCTGCTCCGGCTTGGCCTGCACCTTCTGCCCGCTGTATGATAGCGAAGAATTGCGGACGGCGTCGACCGCAGCGTCCCGATCGACGGCTGACGAGTATCTGCCGAAGTCGAGCCCACTGAACGAAAACAAGTCGCCTTTGATGTAATTCTGACCTGGCGGGGTACCTTCGGCATCTGCCAGAAAACGCTAGATCCATTGGTCAAGCTCGTCCTGATTCGTGGTGCCGCAGGCACCCATAAATACAGCTGTGTATGATCGGTCTGGTTCGTGATTCCGCTGGAATTCATGTTCTGGTCGGCTACTCTCTTGTACATCGCCACCTCCACCTCCAGACCCTTGATAATATCGCGGATCGCTGTCTCTGTCTGGGGGCCTGCGCACGAGCCCTCCGAGGTCTCCAGACTCGTGCGGCGAATTGCCACATGCTCCAAGCGGGTTCCGGAGGCTGTTATGTGCCCCTCAATCGTCTCTTCGAACTCCGACGCCTTGCGATCCAAGCCCGTCACCGCGTTCCTCAAGGGTTGAATTTCTTGAAGGCCGCGGTCTTGTCGAACGTAGGTGCCTGCTGCTCAGGTGGTTGCGCTGGTGCACCACGTGCTGCGTCATGCTGTGTACTCGGTGTTGCGATCGAGTGTTGCTCAGCCTGTCGACGAGGAGAAGGATCGCGTGTTCCAACCATCTCGTACAATAGGCGAATCCGCCGATCCCTGTCGGCGTGTGCGAGGGGCTTGGCTGTTCGAGTCGTCGTCTCCGTCGGTCGTCGCCTCCGTCGTCCCCTTTCCCTGCAGTTTCCTTCTCAAGCTCGCGAGCGAGAGAAAAATCGAGCAGTGTCGTAATCGAGTCGACGGGAAGCCCCTTCCCTTTGATCCCTTCCCCAGGGGATGGGGGGGGGGGTCCCAGGGGGGGTGGAGGGGGGGTCCCGGGGTGGGTCCCGGGGGTCCCGGGGGGGGTCCCGGGGGGGGTGGGGGGGCAGATTCGTTTTTCCTCGGGCGGCCTAGAAACATCGAAAAGACTCCAAATGAGGTCCGAATGCCCCAGATGGCCCCCGAGACGGCCCAAGAGGGCCCCGAGTCGCCCAAAGATCGGCCGAAAACGCCTAATATAGCCCCAAGACCGTCCAAGAAGCCTCCAAGACGTCCCAGGCCCCCTCCAAGAGACCCCCAGGAAGCCCCAAGAGGCCCCCACGAGGCTTCCAAGCGGCCCCAAAGACCTTCCCAAGAGGCACACAAACTACCCCCAAGAGGCCCCCAAGAGCGCTGGTCGTCGTCGTCGTCGTCGTCGTCGTCGTCGTCGTCGTCGCCATTCAGGGTCGGCGGCACCGGCCGTAAGGCCTTCGCAATCACACGCTACTTTGACGGACATTACG